ACTCTAAAAACATGAAATTTAAGAGACTTAGGAGTACAAAAGTCATGACATCTTTCTTTCAAAATCAGAACACTGATATTTTAGGCAACTACCTAAATTATCTAGCAGTATTTCAGGTAAATGTTTGGGACTTTGATAGATGTTTATTGCAGTGGGTTGGTCCCTGTCTCCATTTTGCTCCTCCCCAGCCCCATGCATATGCCATAGCCTGCAATGTTCTGTACAGCATGAGGATGTAAGTGATATGAAACATCATCCCAGTGGATTAGGGATTGATGCTGCCAATTCATCCTTTTAGGATTACAGATGTTGTGGGGGATCAAGGCCAGTCTGGCCGAAGACTGGCCATGAGATTTCATATGATGGAGAAGTATAGCTCCATCAAATCCCAGAGACTCAATCCATACTAGGATGGTGGGAATTCTTTTCCTGGAGGCACACAGCCCTGATCCATAATGGTTCAGTGTCTGTGCACAGATTAAAATCCAGTCCTTCTGAAAGCCAAAGACAAGGTTAAGGTGAGGTGTAAGGTCCTGCTCTTCTAGAAAGTTAGTCCAGAGCTGACCAGTGGCCACAGTAGCTGAAAATCCTTTGAAATGTGCAGAATATTATGCTGGATCAGACTGAAGTTGTTGGCCAAGGAAGGTGCTGTTGATTAAAGAGGTTGTTGGCCAACCTGCAGTTGGCCAAAGAAGCAGCATAAAAACCCAGCAAGTTCAAAGTGATGCTTTTTCAGATGCCAGAAGCTTGTGGCTCAGGTGCCTGGTAGTGGCACCTGCTGGTGCCTTTGCCTTTGATGTTCTCAGTGGATTTTTCATCTGTGAATTTGTCCAGCTGCTTTGGAAATGTAGAGTGAGTGCTGATGGCCAACAGTATCTTTTATCTGTACACTTACCTGACTGAAGGGAATTCAATCAAAACTGGTACACTTACCTGACTGAAGGGAATTCAGTCAAAACAGACATTCACCAAAAAAAGCCTCTGTTTTGTTTTATTTCTTCTCATGATTTCAGGTAAAACTATCAAAATTTATTATATTCACACTAACAATTTAATATGGAAATAATTTTGTTTTCATGACCAATACAGAAGGGAAGCCCTGAGCACTCTTCCTTCTTCTTCTGCAGAAGTTAAATGATAGATTGAAGCAAAAGCTGTGTCAGTAAAGGAGAAATGGCACCAGAAACTGTGTTTGGTTGGTCTTGTGAAATTGCATCATCCAAATAGACCATTTAGTTATACTTGTAATCCACATACATGGAGTAGGGTGTAAAAGGCTGCCAGAAAATGTCAAATATTGGGTTAATACAGGGATGTGCCATTCAAAAAAATGTTTTGCTGAAAATACTTAAAGGAAAATTACTTTGTATATCTCTTAATCACTACATTTGCTTTTACTTCAAATTGTTTCATGGGTTTCTTTACTTTGTGTGCCCTGCTCACAAAGGCACCCATGGTTACAGTTAGCTTTAGTAATTGGTTGAATTTCTGTAAGCAAAATAGCTTCCACTAGGCAAAATGAGGGGGTTTTGGTAAAAGGTTTACTTTCTGGGTGAAGAAAACCAGCAGTATTTCTGACAACAGGAAAAATAAAATACCATTAGAAACCCTCTTGGGTTTCTCTGCTTCCTAAAATGCAATGAGAAGCAGGGAATCTAAATGAGGGAAGGTTTAATTAGAAGTGTCACTTACAAAACATATGGAAATTTAGTTTGGAATGAAAGGTAACCTGTCTCACTAAAGAGAGAAATGCAGATGTGAGGGAGAAATGCAGATGTGACTGCCCCTCCAGGGCAGAAAGACAGGTAGTGCAGCAGTACAGAAAATTGAATGAAGCAAGGAGAAGATTCCTGAAGTCTTATTACAGAGCTGTTTGTTTATCTGACTTTCTCAAAGTGAAGAACCAAATTAAAGCAGGTCTCCTCAGCTGCCTATTACATGTCAGTGTGCTCAGAAATAGTTAATTTTGGTAATATGATGCGAGGGAAAACAAACTCAGCCAAGTTGGTGGGTGTCTTGTAAGCCTGATGGGATGTACATAGCTATCAAGAAAGGAACAGAACTGGGGGATGTAAAACTGAATATGGATGAATATGCCTATTACATGTGCCTGAATCACTGACCCTGAGAGCACCAAGGGCTACTACCTCCATGTTCATGGGTGAAACAAAAATTTGAATTTTTCCCATGCAAAATACATTGACTTTCCAGTGAAAAGCTAAATAGAAAATTAGCCTGTTTGGTCTGGAAATGTCAGCTGGAAGCTGGTTTCAGTAGATCTCATCCTCTCCCTGAGAAGAGAGCTGAACACAGAAAGAAGAGCCCTCCCCTCCCTCTGCAAGACAAGGGATGGGAGGTCTCCTCTGCACAAATCCATGGCAGATGCTTCAATGGTTTACCCGTTTTGCTAAAAAAAGCATTAAAAATTAAAACAAAAATCTTCATTTTCTTCATAAAACAATAAAGCAGAGCCATCTTACAGAAAATTGTCTGAAATGGGGAATCCTGATGTTCAGCTGTAAAGTTGTTTTGATAGTTGTTTTCAAGAGACTATAGACAGAAATGTTGTTTGAACATGATGAAAGCAAGATGCCCTTTTTGCCTGTGTGGTTCTTTTGGAGCCATGTTTACAGTACTTCTTCAGAGGATCTGGGCAGGGAAAAAGGAAGAGTTATTTGTAAATATTTGATATTCTCAGACCTGGGCACTGTAAACAAAATTTGACTCTTCTCATTTCTCATTCTTCTCTGCTTTTGTGACCTTCTGTAGCTCCTGAGCAAATTCTTTCAGATAGATACTATGTTTTAATTTCAAGTTATCTGCATTCCAGATAGACTCAATGTCACCATAGTCTTTATTCTTAAAATAATGTATACTGGACATGCAGCAGTCGTGAATCTGAGGTTTGCCATGCTCTATCCTAAAAGGTTGCATTGTAATTATTCCTTCTCTTGGTGGGAGGAGTGGTCTTGGCAGGAACATGTTGCAAACCTGTCTGAGGAAGGACAGTGGTGATGCATTCAAAGTGAACAAGAGACCAATGCACAGGGGAGGGCAGAGTGGATGACCTCTATGCAAGTGTCTTTGATGGAACAGCTGTGGTAACCACAGAAATTATGAGGTTTCTGAATGGTTTTCAGCCACATTAGGAAGTCCTGATTCCTTCAGCCAAAGAGCTGAGTCTTGTTTTCTGAAGTTATTTTTATGACAGTTCCTTTCCCACAAACCACCGTCTGTTTAAGTGAGGTCTCAGTCATTCACAGTGTGGTGGAAAGCAACTATGACCTGGGATACAGAGGGGTATGTAGGAGTGATGTGCCACATTTGGCACAGCTGGTGGGAGGGCTGCTGCTTCCTCCTCCTCTTCCCCAGCTTCCCTTCCTCCTGACCCACTAACTGCTGCTTTAAAAACCTTCCTGTAGAGGCTGGAGTAAAGCTAAACTTGTAGCTGCCATATAGAAGACTTTTGGTACCCTTACTCATCAACACAAAAAGAGAATCATAGAATCATTAAGGAGCCCTTAAAGACCATCGAGTCTAACCTTTGATTGATCAACTAGACCTTGTCAACTAGACCATAGCACTAAGTGCCATGTCCAGCCATTTCTTGAACACCCCAGGGGTGGTGACTGCACCCTCTCCGTGGGCAGCTTGTTCCAATGCCTGACCACCCTTTCAGTGACGAATTTCTTCCTGATGTCCAACCTGAACCTCCAGTGGCACAACTTGAGGCTGTGCCCTCTTGTCCTGTCACTAGCTGCCTGGCAGAAGAGGCCAACCCCCACCTGGCTACAAGCTCCTTTCAGACAGTTGTAGAACAACACCTCAGTGTCTTTCTAGTAGTGAGAGGCCCAGAACTGGACAGACGACTTGAGGTTCAGCCTCATCAGTGCG